TAATTGTGTGCGTATATTTACATCTACGTGGTTTTACCTTAGGAAAACAAATGTGCGATCTGCATCGCTAATTTTTATTCTTCTTTTTTCTCTTAAAGTGAGTATTCTTATAGGTAGAAAAGCATTTGTGTGCACCTTTTTAGGAACTTATTTCAGAGATGATAACTCTTCTTTTTGACTAGTAGCTGAGTAAACCTCTTCCCAGGTCAGGAGAAATGGGATGGGCTCTGTTTTGCTCTGTCCAACTCCAGGAATGAAAGAAGCAAGTCTGGGGAAACCCCAGATTCCTTTACAGATGGCAATGACATACTGTGTTTTGTGTGCAGTGCGGATCAGATTTATTCGCGTTTGTTTGAGACTGGATGAACAGGGAAAGCAGCAGCCCCAAGTGCAGAACTCTGTATTTGTTCGCAACTGCGAGACGTATCTTGCCCAGGGATCGATAACCAAATCTTGCTTCCATTAGTTACACAAGCAATTTGCAGAGGGCTACCACAAACCAATCCACCATTAAAGCTCTACCTTGTTTGGAGAATGAACTTACAAAGGTCTTGTATTTAAGCTGGTTCTTTTTACAGGAATGATGTTTCTCTGGAAGTGTAAGTTTTCAGTAAGAGAAAGCCCAGTAATGAATATCCTGGAAATGTAGCCCCAAAGGCCCCTGGACCTTCATGCAGCTGACTTCCTTTTGAGGCTTTCACTCAGCTCCCCCCCCCCCCCCCCCCATTATCAAGCTTCCCTTGAGGATGAGGTTATATGTATGTTTGCTGTAAGCAATGCAGTAATATTGCTGGAATATGGGAAGCATTACAATTTGTGATGTTCTCAAGTTTCCAGTAAAAGTCAAATGAAAAAGTGAATCACAGCTTCCCCTTTGAAACTCCTTGAGGACTGTCCACTAAGTTAGGCAAAGCCTTAACTTCCTTGTAGAGAGGATGAGTGTTGCCTAACACTGTAGGGACAGACCCAACATCTTCCAGTTACTACTATGAAGTTCATAATCCTTGGCAATCATGAACATTTGTAGCTGCTTCTAGACTTGGTTCAGTCCTGGGAGGCCAATGCCCATATCAGTCATAAAGATCACCTTTTCAATCACTGCTTTAGTTGCAATGTCATTGGAGACGGACAGTTTTCAGGAGGTGGGCAGTAAGCTAAAGCCATCACCCCTAGCAGTGACTGAATAGGTTGGGGTGAAACAGTGTGAAATGGTTGTTTCTGTGCAATTTGCACAGCTGTCATCCTGCTCCCACCTGTTCTGCTGTACAATAGCAGATGGCTGTGTCCCAGGTTCAGTCTGGCATTTTGCCCAAATGTTAGTTTATAAGGGGATGGAGAAATCAGAAATTCAATAAGACCCAGGAATTCTTGCAACTTAAAAGTAACTCTATAAATGTAGAGAGCAAGACTTCCAGATTACTACCAGGTGAAAAAACATTTTGGGAAAGTATGTGCCCATATGCAAGTAATCTTTTGAAAATTACGTTGAGTCTTTTAGAAAACAAATTGTGGGATAAAAGGCGTCTGCAATTTTCTTTATTTTTTTAATTTTGTCGTCTTAGTGGGTCTGTTCCCAGAAAGCCACATGTTGAAGGGCTGGCACTAACCCAGGTAAAGTTGTTTTTTTAGTATTGTCCTAGCAGCCATTAAAATAAAATAGAGCGTTGTTAATGCACGGTAATGATGTCCGCATAGCTGACTTTAATTCCCTACAACATAATACAGCACATCTGAAAACACTTTCCCTGTCCTTCAGGCGTAAATTAAACTACTTGGAATACTCGAGTGTGACGTCTGATCTCTTGCCTGTTACCTTAGGAAAGTGTGATGATTCTTTGTTGCTGCCTAAACACGGATGTGCCTGCGTTGATAGGCACAAGCCAGCTTCCAGGGCAGGGTGGGGTGGCCACGCTGGCAGCAGCCATCCTTCCTGTCTGCCCTGCGGCTCCAGGGCTTGTTGAGCCGCCCTCTCTGGGGAGGACTGCTGCAGACCCCTCTGCTCGTCTTGCCAAGGCTGTGGATGCATGCTGGAGTTATTGCAGTGTATAACTTAGGGTGTGAATTTCAAGCATCAGCTATGCTGCAGGACCTGCCCTTATAGTGGTGCCTGAGCACCGGAGCAGGTTGCCCAGAGAGGCTCTGGAGTCTCCATCCTCGGAGATGCTCAAAAGCTATCTGGACGTGATCCTGGCAGTGTGCCTAGGTGAGCCTGCAGAGGACCTCTTCATTGCTTCCAACTGCCTGGTGTTGAGCTGCTGGTGTGGAGAGGGAGAGGAGGCAGTCACTTTGTCTAAGCACATATGCTTCTCAAAGTTCAGGTGATGTTGATTTGTTTCTTTTTGTCGAGGCTGTTTTTTCAGTCCCCTCTGCTTTGCAGGACATCTTAAAAATACAAAATAGAACCTATATTCTGCCATATCAGTTTAATTTTAGGGTAGTTCAGCTGGATGCTGTGTAGCTGAGGTCAGCCTGGCTTTGTTGAGCCATTCTGTATTGTGATTTGGTGGAGGCAGTAAAAGGCTACGTCTTGCTTGTACTGAAATGAAAGCTTTTGGTAGGTCCGAAGAATTGCTGTTGAAGGAAAGCCTTTGAGTTTCATCATTAAAAGCGCTAACTATGAATGGGATTCTACATGCAAACTTAAGGGCTAAAATCTGACTATGTCTTTCATAAGGTACGAAGAAGTCTATAGTGATTTTGGAAAACATAAGTCTAGCTGTTTTCTGGTACAGACAGTGTGGCCCCTTTGTCAGGGGAATGCCAAACTGGGAAATTTTAACTTGAAAGCGTTGGCTCTTCCTGATGACTCAATAACTCAATGCCTTAGCTTAATGCAGAGACAATTTACTGTTGCTCATTGTTTTAATCTTCTAGAATTAAAATCACTTCATGAATCTTTCCTTTCTTACTTACTGGCAAATTGAAATCTTTAGGGATTTGGCACACGGTCTCCAGAGCAGATCAGAGTGAGAACGTCATAGCTGTCTGAGTCTCATCGACAGTGTGAACAAACATCAGACTAATTCAGTGCAAGGGGACAAAGTACGGAAACAATAATGATGATCTCTGCCAATGTAATTAGGCATTTTCATTGTTCTGGACTTCCAGATGAAATTCTTAATGTGGAAGCAGTATATACAGCACTGGATCATGGCAAAAATCAAGTTAGAAATGTTAGGAATGCTGCCATTTCTGGGAAGCTCCATTTCCTTTGGCCCAACAAAAAACCAGCTTGAAAGGCAAATTTAAAAAGTAGAGCCTGAGCCGAAAATCAAATAATTCTAGTAAAGATAGCTTATCTATCTAGAACAAGACATCTAGCTATGAAAAATGAGTCTTCCTATGTTGAAAAAGCTATGCTTGTTGCTGAAAAAGCTACAACTGTAGCAGCAAATAGTGATTTGGAAAAATAAAAGCGCAAATCTTCAAGGTCCAGAGTGCGTTAAACCCAATGGGAGTCTTTGGTTTTAATGGGTTTTGGATCAGACCATAAGTTGTAAAGGTTTGTACGTTGATTGGCTTAAATGCAAAAAAAAAAAAAAAAAGGGGGGGGGGGAAAAATTCACATCAGAGATTCCTGGGTTAAAACCATGCTCCTTATTTTTCAGACCTGCAGTTTGCAGATAATTAAACCAAGTTGAATATGGTACGTGGCAGAGGCCAAAGTGCAAAGAAGGGATCCTTGCCCGCAACAAGCAGTCTGTACCTGGGAGAACAAGAACTCATCGTGTTCTCCCAAGTGACAAACTCAGATTCTGAGATTGAACAGAATAGTTGGTCTTCTGTGTTTTGAGCTTTTGATTTCTCTTCTACCCCAATGCAATTGGAAACAGTAGAGATTCCCTCCAATTGAAATGAGTGGGCCAAAAGTCTTTCAGTGATGGCAGCCCCTCTGGCAGAAGGGCACGTGCTCTGAAAGCTTTGCAGGCCAGGCACCGCCTCCCAAATGAAGGTTGACCTCCAGTGGTCTCTGTTCTGTAGCAGCCCCCAGGAAGCAGAGGATGCAGGGAGCAGTCACTTTCTAGGTAGGCAGAGCTCAAAGCAATCCTGAGATTGCTTTTGTTTTTACCAGGAGCTGAACAAACTTTTCCTGACCCCAGGACTAGGGGAGTGCAAAGCTCAGAGGCTGGTCCCCTCAGTTTGAGAGACTTCAGCTTGCTCTGTCTTCCAGTATGCTCCTTGGTGGAGGAAAAGCCCTCTTGTTTTTAGAAATACACTGTTTTGTGCATTCAGAAACAGCAGCATGCATGGGAGAGTGGGAGGTTGTTTCTCCATTGCGGGAATAGTTCTTGTGTTCCCAAAGCTAAAATGATCTTGCCTTTTTAGTAAGAAATGCACCGCTCTGCTCCACACAGCGTTTGATCAGCAGGTTCTCCAGGGTCCGCAGGCTCAGCAAGAAGGAGGGTAGGCGATGCTGAGCTTCAGCCTAATAACATAAGTTTATTCCCAGTTTGCCAAGACTTCCTCAGTAGCTCTGGTAAACTTCTAGATCCCTGCATTCAGAAATGCCCGTGTATATGTCTGTTAGACCTTGATTAGGCCCCTGCAATTCCCTCTATTCCCTTGAAATCAAAGGGCAGGCCTGATAAAAGTAGCAAACAGGAGGAGCAGATCCTCTGTGCCCTAAGTGTTGAACAGAACAGACATATGTTAGTGATCTAATCCCAACTGTACATTGAGACACCTCTGTGGGAAAAGTGCTCAGGCACGCAGAAACTTTGGGCAGTGGCAGCATCCTGTTCCTGCTTGGCAGGACCGAAGATGTGTCTGTGAATGGAAACTATCTCGGTGCCTGCTCTGTTCAGCACCTTTGTTGAAAGGGTCAAGACTTACTTGTACAGGGTGGCATAAGCCTTCTTGCTGATAGGCATTTACATGAATCCTTCTGTGTTCCAGTTTATAGTTCCTGCCAGAGAATATGTTGTTTTGGAAGGAAAAAAACCACATTTTTTTTCTTTTCAAGTAAACTCCATTTAAATTTCTTTAATTTCCCATTATAGAGCTGAAGGGAAGACCTGGTCACCTCCTGTTCTAGAAGATGGAAAGGCGCAAGCTTACCGCATCAATATAGAGCCAGAACTGCAGGTATGGGAGCAACAACTCTGCATATAGATTTTTCTTTCAGCTCAGTTTTCTAGAGGGAGGAGATCCATATCTAAAACCTAGAAAGCATTCTCCTGTGCCCACAGTCCTTGCAATAATTAAATAATGTTTATTGTGGTGTTTTAAAACTTCACGTTTATTAGACTTTCGTAAAGAGAGACTTTTTTGTGCAGGTCTTGCTCAGTTTTCCTTGGGCTTTGTATTTTCATGCTCGTTTTAAGGCCCAGGCCTCTTTGCTGACACAAGTGTTCTCGTGGTGAATTAGACCAGAGAACTGATCTGAATTTAAACCCATCTCTTCAATCCTAAAAATCTAACCCAAGTTAGATTTTTGCCTGGCTCAACTTGCTGCTTACTTACAGGAATGCTTACAGTGGTATGAAGGAGGAAATGGCAGCATGGGAGTGGAAAGAGAAAACTGGGAGAGGGAGAGGACATCAGTGCCAGCATATGCCAACTTAGTGACTAAAACTGTCCTGAGGCAGGTGCCCAACTCTGTTAGTTGGGGCTCAGCATTAAGCATTATACTGGTAGACCCTCCTGAGGAGCAGGTGAACGAGCTTGTGGTCAGCATTGATGGAGCTCTTAGGAGACCTCCTAATTGGCACTGCCTAAGGTCTGGCCTGTTTCAAGCACAGCAAGCCCATGATCTGTTTGCACCCGCCTCAGGAGATGTGCCCTCCGTCTCTCCTCTCTTTCTAGAGTTCACCACACCCTTCTAATCCTGCGATGGTGATTCATTTTATGTTGTGGTGGTGTGGGGGATTTTTTTTAATGCCTTTGCTTTTCTGTCTTACTCCTTTCTCTTCCTCTCTGTTTTACAGCTTGTCTCTTCCCTTTATCTTCAGCTCTTTTCCCTAGAGCCCTCCTGCCAGTATTTTACATCTTCAGTCTGCTGTACCTTCCCGTATCTCCTAGCCCCTCACCTCAAGGTTTCTAAGGGTCAGTATGACACCACGGTTGTGAATAAACCTCCATTTTTCATATCCACCGCTGGCTAATAGTTTCTTAATGAATTCAAAGATTACTGTTTGTTCTCCTTTGGCTCCTTAAAGGGAAAAGGAATGTTTTCTCACTCCTTCCTTTTTTGCCTCCAAGTTATCTGACTGTTGGGGTTCTCCAGTGTCCTTGCCTGTGATGTCTGCTGTAGAGGTATTCGGGGAATGGGGAGGAGAACAGGAGGAGACGAGCCAGAAGGGGAGCTCCTGTGGTCTTGCCCCTCTGGATCAGAGCCGAGTTGACACGTGCACTGCAAGCTTTCACAGGGGCCCGCAAGGTAGTGGATGGCAGGACTGACAGCTGGCAAGACTTGGCCCCGTTCTCACTGCTGCAGTTGGGCAAACCCTTCCCCCAGCGGAAATAGTAGCGCTGGAACCGCCTGCTTGCGCGTTTCAGAAGACAAATGTACATCAGACTAACAAAAAAAACATAAAAACAATTCCATGCCCCAAACAAGATGGGTCACTGGCTGCTGCAGTTACTGCAGTGACGCAGGAACGCTTTCGCTGTTGCGCTGATGCTGAGCTTTCAAAAGTTGCTCACATAGTTCCTTTCTCTGATAAGGTGGTTTCTGTTTTAGGCTATCTCTAGAAGCCTTTTGTTTTCTCCAGTGCTCACAAAGTACCTGCATACAGATGCTGTTGGCTTAGCTCTGCTATTTATTTCTAGACCTAGCTCTTAAGCATCCTGTTAAGGGTCCCCCCTCAGGCCTCCTTTAGTCTGTGTCCAGTTCAGTCCGGAATGAACGTAAAAGAGGTGGAAAGAGCAGGTATGATGGTAAGAGGAATAGTATTCGTTTTGCTTATCTTCAGCGAAGAATGAGGAAATGGCGCTGCTGGCCATCGCAGCCCAATGTGACAGATCAATCAATGGAGTTCTCAGATGTTTTGCATTCCCACGCTGTTTGTGAAAATGGGCAGCAAATAGAGGTGAGAGCTGCTGTTAGTGCTGTAGCCCTCTAACTTGCAGAACAGCAGTACTAGCAAATCACAGTCCCGTTATTAGGCACAAGAGACTCATGGATCTGCTTGTCTTTTCTGTGCTAATTGAAAATGCAGAGTGATCTATACACTTTGGCTTTGAATTCTGGCTGTGTTTGCTTCATTAATCAATTACGGCAATCTTTTCTGGCAGGTTTTTTTAATAGACTTTGATGTGCCCAAAACTTGGTGAATAATGTTAAATAAGGAACAAATGTGCAGCAGTTTCACTGCCAGACACAACATTTCTGAGGTTTAAAGCAGATTGGATTTGAATCGTACTATTAATATATGTTACATATGGATCTTTTTAAAAATTAGACAGTTACATGGAGTATAATGATGGGGTAGGAATATATTTTCCTGAATCCAGACCTACACTAAATATGTCTAAATCTGTAAAATACTCAGTGGGTAAAAAGAGGCACATTTGTGGCAAGGCATTGAGAAAAGAACAGGAGTAAGCAGGTAAAAAGAACAGATTCCTACTCTCCCTCTCCCTTTTCAATTTCCCCAAACTAAGTACTCCCCTTAACCAGGCAGAAAATACTCTTTCCTACGTCCTCTTGTTTAATGGCCTTCTGCCTTCCCAGAAAGGAGGTGAATGAGGTACCCCACTTAGCGTTAGAGTATTCTTGCTATGCATGTGTATGTTAACTCTTTTCCTTCCCAAAACAGACTGTGATTTGAGGAATGGTTCAAATTTTGGAAGAATGGATTGATATTACATGTGCTCGCTAACTGCTTTGGACACGTGCCAGCAGTTGTCCTAATCCCTGATTTTTCGCAGACATCCTCAGAGTTGTATAATGCTGAAGGTGATCAGAAGCACCCAAGAAGGCAGACCATTGCAGCAGGCCATCTGTTGCCCTTGGAGCAAAGGTTGTGGTCATGGCTGGAGTCCCCTCTGATGCTGGGAGGGGTGCTGTACGACCTGTGGCTGTCCTACCTTGTTTGAATTCAGGCCTTGTAGCAAAGGCACTTATTAGATTACAAGAAAGAAAAGATTCATTATAAAGTAATAGTTTGGCTCCAAACGTGTAACCTTTAGGTGCACTTCCTAGCATCTGGAAAAAAAGTAACCCCCTCTGAAACATAAGGTGGGGGGGGGAGCCAGCCCATGAATCGCAGAAATAGAGTTGGGGCTATCCTTGAAAAGGTTTTGAGGTTTTTACCCCCAGTGGCCTTTCCAGTAATGTGGAGCACATGTGTATTTCCTTTCTCCAGGGTTTTACTCTCAATTTTTATGTAGTCCTGTGCAAAGGTATCTTGAAAATCTTTTGACTTCTGATGACTGCAGTTTGGCTTTTAAAAAAGAAGTGCTTAAAAAAGGAGAAAAAAACAGAAGTCATTAGAAGTGTTTTTATCTCCATAGGTGCTAGAGTGCCTCTGCCCCAAGATGTGTGAACATAAGCAGAATGGCTAAATCCACGTGATTATCCCTCTCTGCTTGTGACTGTGTAGGAAAGAATATGCCACATAATCACAGTTTTATTTATTATTTTGGTAACATCTCTTTGTCTTGAAGGCAGTTATTCTCATCTTTTGTTTAAGAGAGCTTGGAAGCAAAAACAGACTGGGAGACAGCTTTATTATGATTATTATTATTCTATGGTGTTTTGTCAGCTGAGCTTTTCTGAAAAAATCATAATCAGATACCAAGGCAGTAATCAGTCCTCTTTTAATAAAACTATTGATTAATCCCATGACTGCAGGGAATAACTTATCAAAACTGAAGAACTCGGAAGTTAAGAGGTAGCTTGTTGCTTACAGTTAGCAGAAATAACATTAATCAAAATGCATTTCATTAGTGTAATTCACTAGTATGCTTTTTAAAAATATTAGTTGGTTATCAGTTACTTATAGTACACAAGTCTATACTTAATAGGATCTATAGAGAGGGACTCAAACTCAGTGACCTTCCAACTTACGTAGCCCCTCATTAAGTTACATTTGTCACAAACCCAGTCGTGAATGATCCTTGATCACAGAATCACAGAATCGTTTAGGTTGGAAGGGACCTCTGGAGATCATCTAGTCCAACCTCCCTGCTCAAGCAGGGTCACCTAGAGCATATTGCCCAGGATCACATCCAGACGGGTTTTGAATATCTCCAGCGAAGGAGACTCCACCACCCCTCTGGGCAACCTGTTCCAATGCTCTGTCACCCTCACAGTGAAGAAGTTTTTTCTCAGGTTCAGTAGGTTTCTCAGGTTCAGAAGTTTTTTTCAGGTTGATGCTGTACAAGCGTCTTGCAGAGGCTGTTTTGTGCTCTTTAAGTGGTAGTAGTGCTGTTGTGTGAAATCGTAAGTGCTGTCACTCAACATGACATCACTGCTTGCATGTTTGAATCTCTGGACTAGCTTTGCAGTCTGTCCTGTTGCCCTGTTTGTAATGTCACTGCATGCATATGCAATACTTGTCACTCCCTAGCAGATGGTAAAAGTGGGAGATGTATGTGTTGTATGAAACAAAGAGATTAGTTTCTGGAAATTCCGCTGTATTTAGTTTCTTGTAGCGCTAGCTCTCTAGTCAAAATACAGCCATATGGTGCTAATAAAAGAATAGGATGTTTGTTTTCTTGACCACTCTCACACTGTTAAAATTGACAGCTTACTGGCACAACGGAGATTGGAAACTTATGTTTCAGACTGTGAGGTCGAACTCTGTCCTTGCTAATTGACGGTAGATTCAAATGTCTGGATGTGAGAATAATTGCAGCAAAAATTAAATTGGCAGCCCATAGCTGAGATTAGAATAGGATGCAAATCCTAGCAGAGCTGGGCGCTCAGGAATAATCAGGTGACCTAGGTGAAAGGCTAGGATTTCTCTCACCTCTCTGTGGCTATCTGATAGCCTCTAGAGAGGGAGAGGCGCTTCCAGAAGATGGTTAGTCACCCAGGTCCCAGTGAGAATGTCATAAAAGTGCTGCAGAATTTGCAGAATGTCATTCTGTCATCAGGTTGATGTCATTCTCCCTGGAGGGGACGAGGACAGTGGGTG